CTTTTCCGTGTACAAATAGCTCTCCACCCCGAAAATCATCGAATAAACCCCAGGAATCTCTTGACAAGATTCTTTATGAGCCATTTTTCCGGGAAAAAGCTCGAGTCAAGGTGTTATATGGGAAAGAAGGAAAAAATGGAGGATAAATGCGAGGGATAACAGAGCATAGTGTGCCCGTCAACGTTAAAATGAGGGAGATCCTCCGAAATCCCTGGGATCGACAGGATCCAACCGCTTCTATGACAGGCGACGCTGGTTCATGCCAAAATTTATGTTGGGTACATGCATCCATCCAGATCCATCGCTTCCAGCGAAAGCACAATCTCCACACCAGGCGAATAGTTTGTGGTGACGAGTATGAGTTGAGCTTGCTGTGTGCCTCGGACAAAACTCCAGGTAGACGAGAAATTGCTGAGAAGACGTCCTACCATACGACGCGTATCGGTTTTACATTTTTCAAATCGGATAATTTATCAATCTCAGTCGACTTTCCCTAGGCATCCATTCCCAGGGGTTATGGTCTAGCTTGGAAAATAATGAGCCTCTTTAAAGACCGCAAGTTCTCGCATGGGCTCCCGTACCTACGGTGGCAATCGATTTTTTTTTTACTCCCAGTTTGGCCCCCTGTAATGCAACAATCCATCTTCCACCTGGTGTTGAAGAATACGTCAAATCAGTAGTGCGAAAACATTTTGGTCAGACGTCGAAATACTTTTACACGGAAACCCCTTTTCCCCAATTTTCTATCAAACATTTATACCTTAATTTCCGCTTCTGAGCTAAGAACCGAGAGGAGCTAGAGTCTTGAGAATTGAAAATTAATCAATTCATAATTCTGCTTTATCCGGCGAAGAATAATTAACTGAATTACCATTTCGATTTGTTTTAGAAAAAGAAATTCTGGAAATTATCTGTATTTTTTATCATTTCCTCGGGTTTTCTTTTTCGCTTCATAATTTTCTTGTTACGTTTTATCGAAATGTGAGTTATAACTTGTAAATTCCAGAAGCTTTATTTTAAAAATCATGAGTTCGTTCTTTCTTTTCTGTCAAAAATCTGATTAAGTCATCCGACTTTCAAGAATTTCTCAAGTATATGACCACCAAAGAAGTACTGAATTGTCAAATAATTTTCATTGAATTTCTCTCCCCGTGTAATTGCCGACCTGATTGTAATCAGCTTGACTGTCTCCCCACGAGAACGACATTTCCGAATTTCTCCCAAATAATAATTGAAAATAATTGCACCCCTGAAACACCCTGAGACACTGGAATTCTCTCCAGCAGCTTAATTCCGTATGCAGGGTGCATCAACCCCGAGATATACAGGAAATATTCTCTGGGGACAGGTAGATCCAAGAAGAGTGAGTCATGCAGTCGAAAATTGAAATAGATTACGGCAAGAGCCTGTCCACGGGTGTCTACGTATCTCACTAGTTGTACCGACTACCAGGTTGGAATTCCAAAGTGCGTCAGAGTGGATAGCTGAAGGGGAGTATCTCCAAGGAAGACATGCCCTAAATCGATGCTGATTGGATCACCTAGATGTTGGAGAGTCTGCCAGAATGGATCTCTCGCCCTTCGCCCTTGCCGAGGGACTCTTTTTCACCACTCCCCGCATCCTGAGATATAACTAGACTCTCCATTCCAGCCTTATCCCTGCGGAATCAAATAAGAAACTGTGTCTGAGGCCAGAATTTGCGTAATTTCCTGAGCACCCTCGTTACTCCCGTTTCAACGAAACGTTTCAGCAAAAAGGTAAAATATAATATATACACATTTGCCCGGAATTATCAGAGAAAATTTGATTACGGACCCGTGCTGATTCAATAGGGAATGAACCGCTCATTCGATTTCCGCCGCAACCATCAGTTTGACATTTTTTTTACTCCTCTCGATTATGATGAATTTAATAGCAGGATGTGATGGTCGGAAAAAAATCACTCTATTTATCACTCCGGAGAGACAAACAGGAAAAATTTCAGGCCTGATAATACGGTTCAATGGTTAGTGCTCTCTGAAAGGGAATGCCGATGATTGGATGGTGTATAAAACTCATAGTACGGGAATTATCCGGGATATTCTACGGAATTTTCCATTGGGGTAATGATATCATTGAGTTTCCAACGATCTGTTGGGGTGGGGTTGGTGAATTTCAATGAATTGCCGGTGATGAGTAAATGAATGACTAGCTTTTGGAACATGATTTGCAGACACAGCGGGTAATTAATTGGGATCTTTAACGTCGGCCCAGGATAGTATTTTCCTTTTCAATGAATTTTCCCTGGGTGACAACAAAATGTGGTCGTGATAAGAATTTATTTCTTCAAAATCGAAAGTAACTTTTTCCAAACACTCATTTCTACGTCGATCAATCATCGATCTCATGTATATTTATATATTTCCCTTGTGGGTGATAATAATGCGCCGAAAGACAGAAAATAGAACTAAAAATAATTCACGACAGATACCCAGAGGAAGAATAACAAAGCCTTGAAAACAAAACCTCGTTTATCTGCCATAAAAACATGGGAACGCGACATGATAAAAATAATTCTCAATCGGTGAATTATATTTCTCCAGGCATGAACAGGTGAAATCCCCATCTTTCATACTCATCCGACTGAAATAACATCCCACGACAGATGATGAATTTTCGATGAGAATCCTCAAATAAAAAACTCCATAACCGAGGTTTTGGTTGTTTGGCATGAATTCAAATTTGATCAATGGCAAACGGCATAATTCCATCGTATGCGACATTTACAATCGGTGGCAGGCGTGACGGGGCGGAAACACGTACAGTTTCCACTGAGCATCGAGTATATCGATGTTGGTGTGGCATTTGGACCACGACTTTGCCGAATATTTCGTATATACGTGCAAGTGTGAATGGCTGTCAGGGCCAAAAATTGATGCAAATCCGGCCCATGAATATTCAATTAATGTAATCCAGTAGTGGGAGGAGGAGAAGACACTCGGATAAAAAATCTCATTTTCACAAAGACCATAAACTACAGCCAAGTAACAAAAAATAATCCCTTGTCAATCGAATAAGTGCACTGACAAAATATTTCTCAGTGAAATGGAATTGTGGTTCTACGAGTTATTCCCCCAAACAAAATTATTAATATATATTAATATATAATTAAAATAAATTAATAAAGTTATACGTTGGATGAATCATTAACCATTGTCATCTCGCAGACCGCTGAACCAATTTGTCACCATAAATAGTGAAGTACGACAAAACAGACAAGTATCAACAGCTACTGTAATGACAAAAACAATCACTTGCACGGACGTATTGCGCCCGGGTATACGACTGAAAATTAAGAAAAAGCGAAATCATTTTGTTTTTTAGTAGATTTTCCCGTGGATTTTCTTTTCGGGAGTTTTGTCGGGGGATTTTGCCCAGGATATTTTCTCCCGGATGAATAAGTACCGGGAATAATAAATAATAAATAACCACCGGGAATGTGCCTAAATATGAATAAGGTTGGAGAAAGTTTTCCTCTGGGACGTAGAATATGTGATTTGAGCAATTATCTATGGATTCAGGAGTAATTGGTTCAATAACCTAAGGATTCTTGGATGATCCTTAAAATAGTATATTAATTGAATATGTATAATTAGTATATATTTTGATTGAGAATTCAGACCGATATAGTTGAAGTTAAGGAAATAGACTTGTAATATCGAATTTTAAGGGGTTGAAGGTGGATGAAAAGAGATTTTATGTTAATTGGAGGTTCGCGGTAAAATCAGCGAAAACCTAGCTCCTGGTTGAAGGTCTCCAGTGTCATCCATTTTCGCTTTATCAGGCTGTTCACAACCTGAGGGACCACACCAACTCCGAGCCATTAGGTATACACGAGGCAGAAGAGAAATTGTCCTGCGGTAATTCACGCAAGGGATGTCGGCGTATATTGCCATGTGTATTGCCAAATGTTAACGATCAAGTCCCAAGTGTTGCAGGACTGACGCACAAGGGATATTGCGGCAATTGAAAGCTGAAGGGGAGAATTATCTACACCACGTGTTGATTTTTTCCCCGATAACCGTTAAACCGATAATTTGCAAGGAAATTATTTCCGGCTGCCTAAATCTTTGGAATTTCCCTGGAGTTTCAGTGAAACATAAAATTGTACGATTATTTTCCATTATAAATATGTCGATTGAATTTTTATTTCTGAATATATTTTTCGAGTGATATTGTATGAGAATAATTTATTTCAAGCAGTGGACTACTGGTAGAAATGAAATGACAGAATTCAGCCTTGAGGCGAAAAATGTTGGTGGACAATATTTAATAATTCTGACCAGCGGACAGAGACCAGTTACCAACTGGTCGATTTGTGCTGACATTACGAATGCCATTTGTGAAAATCTCGTACTGAGGGAAAATAAAACGTAATGATAGGAATAGTATAAACGCATTTCAACGAAACGACGACGTCTTCATGTGATATTAAAGAGACGTGATGGCTCACTAAAAGCGAAAAAACGAGAGAATTTATGTTGATTCATCAGTCCTGCAATAGCAGAGTAACTTCACCAGCAAATAAAAAATCTCCAATTTCTCCGCTTCTTTATTTTACATTAATCACTTACGTTACTTGCTTTTATTATTTTTACAGGAACAAATTTTTCCACTGCTAGTACGTAATTCAATTTGTGAAACTAAAAAAGGCCATTCTTTTTGCCTCAAAGAGTAGTATTTCCCCTAATTGGAATCATCAATTAGACATGAAATAAGCGCGAATAGTGAATTCCCTTAATTAACCAGTGATCCTTTCCATTGAACTCGAAATAATCAATTCTACAAATTATCTCGTCCGTAGGTGCCTCGATATTCATTTAGGGTGGAAAATTGATTAATTTTGTCAGCAGCTGATTGCAGCGAATTAATTGCTCATGTCGCCGCAAAAATTGCGGGAATATCCGGTAATATCAACTCGCACACAAAACACTCATAAAAACAGACCAGTCCTGACGTACCTCGTGATTAATCAGCCCCTAATCGCCTCCTCCCGGAACCTCTGAAACAGATAAGCGGAGGAAAAAACATAATTAATCCTCGGTTTTACGTGTCGAAGATATTCTTCGGGAGTTGGGAAAAAAAATTCACGAAGTGCTTTGAGTTGGCGGTGAAATTTAATTGGCCATTTCCACGCGGGAATTCGAGAATTAAATTAACGGATGAGGTTCGTACGAGTCTCGTGTCAGCTGTCAGGATGACAGACCCTCGAGGGCTGGACATGGGATTCAGTTAATCGACCGTGTGGTGGATGGGTAAGTAGAAAAAGCAATTTTCACACCGTTAAACATTTTTCGTTGAACCGTTCGGTTCACTTCACTTCCTAATTTTCCACGATTAATGGAATTTTCCAGAGTAAAGGCCACAACTTTGGAATAAAATTATGGAAATTACTGATTTTAGGTCAATTGTTCATTTAAAGTCGGTAGAAATAAATTCCTAGCGTAAATACTAAATCTTTTAGATTGTCCGATTTAATAGTCAATTTACTAGTTCTCCGAGCTCATCGCATATTTCGGATTCACATCCACAATTTATTATTAATTAATTGGCCAAATGCCTTCACAAATTTTTACTGACCCATTACCACCGAACGAGTTCTACTTCCAACAAAACTCATCGTCTTTTTCTTCATGATCAGGGGATAAATTCCTTTAGAGCCAATACGCAACACGATTATTAAACGTGAATGGAAATTGTACGACAAAAAATTTACCATGTCGATAATTTCCGTCAACTTCTCCAATCGAAAACTATTCTATTCCTCCAAATAAATCTATCCGTCACTCAAACGGAATAACCCGAAGAACCTCCTCCCAAATCGCGCAAAACCGGCGCCATTTTCACGTTAGAAAATTGCGGTTCAGTATTGGAAACGTCAGTGCATCTGCCCCTGACACTCCGTCAATTCCAACAGACACTAACACATACCTCGATGAGCCACACCAAGAAATGGGGGGGAGGTAGCCTAAAAAGAACCCCAGGAAAAGTCAAATTCACATCTGAAATCTCAAGTGATTCCAATTCTACATAAAGCACCGGTATTCTCTATTCCTCGAGAATTTACCCAGGATATTCCGTAGATTGGCGTATGATTTATATTAGAACGATTGCACGTCTGGTACGGGGTGCAGCCTCTGGTCTCATGATTGGTGCTCGTAATTGATTGCCAATATATCTTGAATACACAAGCGTCTTCGGAGGAATCCTATCCAAGTACTCCCCCTTCCCCATCACTTGATCCAATGGTATCCCATTTGCTGATCATGAGGGTACGTACACTGAGAGAAATTTCCATGGTACATTTGACGATGGGGATTCTACAAAATGTCACTGAGCCTCAATTACTCTAAAAATGTAATACTAATACGTATGTAGATGATGAAAAAATTATTCGACAAAATTATAGTCACGATAACATCACAATCGTGATAAATCTCCATATTCAAATATTTCAACTTAAAATTTCAATTAATGGAACATTATGATACAATATCCAACACCAACTCACCCCCTGTTTTTCCCGGCGGTAGAAAATCCAACACTTTTTTCACAGTATTTTCATCACGACTTGAATGACTTTTTCCCGGTGTGGTAACATAATTCAATATCACGTGAGTTTTTTTAATTTGTATTACCGTCACGTCTCATGAATGTCTCCCGATGAAACACATGGGTAGCATTCTTGGCGTGTTTCTAAGCCCGAAGGGTGAGGGGGTTGAATGGGTCGGAATGGGGTGGAAAAGGGGGGAGTTTGAGCATCTTGGCAGAGCACCGGGCATTATCCTTCTCATAATTTTCGTAGCGGCTTACACAAGCTCTGTATATATGCCCCAGCCATTGGGCTTCTCCGTTGACGGTTCTTCTCTCAAGCGAATTCCCTACCTTTCTTCCTTCTTCCAACCGCCCCTAGCTACCACCCAAAACCCAGCTTTCTACCTCTCATCGTTCTCCGTCGGTTCATAAACTTAACATAAGGGTTAAGTCTTAGGTAACTCCCTGAGCGCCGTCATTCTGTTCGTTCTACCCCCGAATTACTCGTCTTTTATCGTTCATTCTTAGCCCCCACGTCAACGTGCACTTTATACCCGTGGTATCCTCATCTTCTCGGTAACCTCGTTAAAGGAAAATTCTTCCCCGAGTTTTCATTAGCCCGGGGCCATTATGAGTGCAAACTTCTTTCGAAAATTTTTGGCTTGCGCATGGAGAACATTGCATTTCTCCTTTGTTTCCATTTTTTTTTTCACCCCGCTCAAAGAAATTCGCGGGCTTTGAACATCCTGCAATTTCGGGGATGACTCAGTACGTGCATAGAATATTATTTCATTGCATAGGAATAATTATTGTCTATAATTTTTGGTTTATATTGCAGCCCCGTTCAAGTTTCGATGATTTTTACCATTCAAAATTGATATTTTCACAGAAAAATTGATGATTGAATTTCTTTTCTTAGAGATTGTAGAATGTTATTTCATAAACTGATAATTCTCACGTGATGAAAATTTTTCCCTCTTCACTTACTGATTGAGAGAGCATAGTGCATTGAGAGGATCATTCACCGGAGCAATTATTTTCAATGATTAATCACATAACTGTAATTGGATGTGCAGATTTCTCGTATTGGAAAAATTTCGAAAAATAGGTGGTGGAAACGAGTGGCGAGAGTGATTAGAAGCCCAGCTTCTCTCGGAAAAATGTGTTCTCTCAATATTCATGAAACACTCGCCTCGTTCGAAACTTCAACGAGGACAATGAAAAAACGTAACGAGATATTATAGAAAGGTTATTGCCACTATAACCGCGGATATGAGGCCGTCACAAGAGGTAAAAAGGCCCGAAGAACGCCAACGAGTAGAAAAATACGGTTAAAATTAGTGCTCAAGGAAAAATATGGTAATCATATGCGCATTTAATTATCGTAAAAATAGATTAACCGATAAATAGATCTTTTTAATGAAACATGGTCAGTGTCATTTATGTATGCACCAGGCATGCCTGCCCCAACGGTAATCCGGGGTTCTATATAGCGCAGACTCGCTTCTGCACTCTATATGGAGCCACTCTGCCAGATTATAACATCCTTTCCACGGATTTCCCCTGTCCTAGGGAGAAACAAGCATCTAGGGAGAGAATTCTCGATTCCAAGTATTTATTTCATATTCCACCAATTCAATTTGCTTTGGTAACTATATTCCACTGCGTTACGAAAGGCTTTTATCTATTGCACTCTCAGTGCATCCAAAAAAAAGGAAAAAATTCTCTTGCTTATTTACACGTTGAGGAAAAACATTTACTTGCACGATCACAAAATCTATTTATTATCGTACCAGAAATTCTGCGTGAAATATCCTTTTATTTACTATCTGCAATACTGATCCTATGAAAATTCCCTGTGATAAATCTATCAAGTTCTGCCAAATACATTTTTCTGGAACGAGTGAGTGTATGTAAATATTTATGAGTCGACTGAGCGAATTTTCTTCTTTCTTCAAAACCACGTGAATCTCCTAACCACGACAAAGTAAGATTAAATTTTCGTAGAATCCTTCATTCTCACACCCAGGAAAATATTAAAACTTGAAGCATTAATTACCCTGAATTTCCAATTAATTATTATAATTATCTGTTTTCAATTTTCGTGAGGGAAATTTTAACAGATCTTTAACAGCATAGAGGATAATATTGATGAAATAATTCTGGATATATCGAGTCGATTGGGCTGAGGAGCGAGTGGAAATGGAAAAGGAAAAGGAAAAGTTGAGAATCAAAGCCCATTATCTCGTCCATCCCCAGCGCGTGCTATCTTCAAAGTCAAAACTTCATTGCTATCAAATATTACTCTCATGTAAACTTCATTTGACAGATGTATCTCGCGGCGATTGTGCACGAGAGCGACATATTCAGCTTTTGTTATGACATAGCCACGAAATATCAGTGAAACCTCTCCCACTCCTATCGTCCAACTATCTATCATGCACATTGTGCATTATGGATTCAACGTTGCAACGACAGCAGGAGCAGCAAGCGTAAACGTAACGGATAGGTATGTGTGTATGTATAATCAGGTATCCAAACCCTCATCCCTTCAATTTCTACTGTGTGCGGTGGAAACTCCCCAGAACGGTTACACAGATCACTTCTATGGTACCCCAACGATCTCATAAGCGTGCCAATTTGCTGAAACTGCCTATCTGGGATAAAATATCATCGCACATCCCACCGAATTCACTGTATTTTCAACTGACCAGAGTGTACGCTACAAAATTGTCACGGCGACCCATCAAATCTACTTGACGGCACTAAGTGTTACCGTATTTATATACTGGTAATTTTGCGATTGTTCATTGTCGTTATATTCGATGGGAATCACTTTCTCATTCTTGTTGCTCCACTGGTAGAGAAAGAATCGCCTTTGTCTCGAAAAACGTCACGCGAAAATCGACCTCTCGAGGTAGACTCTCCAAAGTATTGAAATTTATTTGGGGAATAGGTAATTTCCGGAGAATATCAACATTTTTTTTGTCAGGAAATAATTGTGGACTTCATGGTTTAATTGAATTTTTAGTGAAAATATATCGAACCGAAATTGATTACATTGCAATAATTTTTTCATCAATTCATTACGATTTCTCATATTCCTACCAATTTTATGGAATGGAACCTCAATCAAATAATATTTCATCTCATTCCCAGGAAATGACGGTTCATGGCGTTAAACATTAAATATACTATATACATTTAACAGGACCTGTGATATTATATATCACTCATGTTCTATATTTTGTACATAAAACGTGACAAATGTATGTATAATGTGAGCGAATTCCAGGCAATCAAATAGATATTTCGTGAATAAATATATTTTTTGTGATGTGTAGAAATGTAATAACACAACTCGACGCAAAATTCAGTCGCAAGCGGTTTTTGTTTAAGGCAGTGCAGCTGTGCCGCATCGTATGTCTCCGAATGAGGATGAGATTTGTTGCAATAGTAACTCAAACC